ATCCAATCCAATCCAATCCAATCCCGTGCCACAAGTCACGGATTCCATAACACTACATCAACATACCAGTAGCCAGACCCCCACTCTTCCCCACCCTCACCCCTACCTACCTCTACAGTACCTGGAAAAAGAAAAAAAAGATCGCCGGAATACTTTTTACGAAGATTTCACGAGCAGGAGAAACCAAAGGGGCGCATATCTACAAGTTGCCACCACCCTAGAGAGTAGATACAGCCCTGTAAATTTAATCAAAGCTGACTTTCAGAAAGGGCCACCAGAGGACTATTGAACTGATGATTATGTTTAGGTTCCACAAATAATCTGGGCTAAATTTTATGTGACTTTTTACAAGTAAAGGGATTAGAAAATGGAAAGAGAGGCATAAGTAAGACAAGTAGAGCATTGAACAATGAAGCAAATAACCAGAAAATGACAAAAATGATTAGATAGTACGGGATAGTATTTAACTACAAAATCTTGTTCATTATACTTATATAGCCGTGTCAATTAGTGCGTATGAAGTCTAAAATGGTGAAGAGGCAAGGAGGTGACTGACCAGCAACATCCTGGCCATCGTAAATGCCACGGTGTACTGTCCCAAAAGTGCCACGAGCAATGACACCCTTGACGATCAGCTTGGAGGGGTCAATTTCCCATTCGAACCTTTTCCTTCTGGCGATGGTGGTGGTGGTGGTGGGGGTGGTGGAGATTTCTTGATTGGTTTTCTTGTTCTTCTCCATAGTCCATGCCCTGTTCAGATGTCTCTCCAATTCATCCAGACTCTTCAAATCTATCTGATCTGCCCTCACAAATCCATCACTGCTCTTCTCCATTTCTCTCTACTTTTCAAGTGTGTGTTTTTCTTTTCTGCAACATATATGTAGACAGTATATCTTGCTTTTGTCTTGGTTTTACTTGAAAATGAAATCAAACCAAATGGAATTATGCAAATAATAGGGAAGGGGTGGGGGTATTACTATTGTGCAGTCAGCAGCGCCATGTGGGCACATGCAATTGCCTGAAGACTAAGTGTGCATGTGGCCCACAAGCTATCATCTTCTCTCTTTCTCATTCAATTCTATTTGCTTTTTCTTGCCAAGTATTTAAAGTTTTATACAAAGATGAGAAGTAAAAAAA